AACCGAACCGAAAAAGGGTAACGTAAGGGACCCGTTACCGTACCCTTAACCGTAACGACGTTCTACGATAGGTAGTAGTCATTCCTAACACTGTCTCTCTCTCTCTCTCTCTCTCTCTCTCTTCTTTCTCTCTCTATGTTTCCCTCTCTCTCTTGATACCCACGACTGATAAACACATTATCTTTCACTCTCTACTGTTTACCATAAATCATAAGTTCATTACCGGTTCCCATTCTCTCTCTCAAAACCTGCAATCCATTTGTGTTGTTTTTCTCTCTCTACATTACCCATAATCACTTTCTCTCTCTTTCTTTTTTTGGACAATGTTAATGGCTAACACTTCACAACTCTCTCTCTCTCTCTACATAGTTTTCGTGGAAAATATGTTACCACATGCCAGAAAGCTCTGATTAGTTTTATTTTCCCATTTTTTCCCTTTTTCTTATCTTCGTTAGCTCATTTTATTTATTTATTCTCGGAGGTTTTTGTATATAACTATTTCAGTGGCGACTGTGGGATTGATTATGCGGTTGCTCTTGAGGAGATGCATTACTGCAAGTTCAAGGGCCGGGTAAAAAAAGCGAAGCTTTCTGAGGATTCAAGATCAGCTTTCTGCATTTTCATGTAATATGATGTTCTTTTATGAATTATTAGCTGTTTATTTTTATTGTTGCTCTTGTAAAATATAAGAGCTTTTCTTTTGTTTTTTAATTTCCCCCTCTTGTTCCTTATTTTGAAAAGTCTCCTTTTTACTACTTTACTATGCGATCGAAATGACTAACGCGTGCGAAAAAGTAAACTTCCATATTTTGTAAGGTTTATATGTTTTTAATTTATTGTTTATTTTAATAAATTTAAAGTAGTAAAATACCTCACATCTCACAATTTTCCGGTTTTGTTTTCTTTATTTTTTGGTAAACCCAAGTTTTTTTTTTAAAGATATACCCCGGTGAACTTTAACTTTATTTTTTAACCTAAACAAATATGATAAAAATATGTTATTTTTAAATCCAATTTTTTTTCTCACTTATCTTTTATATATCAAACTTATCTATTTATCTCTCTGCTTTTCTTTCTCACTCACTCACTCTCTCTCTTCGTGTGTTTTTCCAACACCTCTCTCTTTCCTCCTAATATCCTCTTACATCCAAAAAAATATCGATCTCTCTCTAAAAGTTTGGAAGATAATTTTTTTAAAAAACATGTCTTTTAAATTTTTTTTGGCCTAAAAAAAACAAGCTTAAATTAGTTTAGGGGTGAGAATAAATAAAATCTACGAATCTTATTGTTTGGCCTAAAAAAACAGTTTTAAATTAGTTTAAGGGTGAGAATAAATAAAATCTACGAATCTTGTGCTTCAAAATATTTTTTAAAATATTGGGTTTAATGTGAAATGAAACGTAAAAATATAAAATATGTAGATATTTTCCTTTAAAGTATGTCCGCCAAATGAGCTATTTCCCTGCATTTATTATTGTTGTTATTATTATTATCGTAAGACATGATTGGTTTTGGCACAGTCACAACAACCTCTAGCCTATACATGTAAAATCTTTATTTGGTGAGTATTTACTGTAAAATCGATTGGTTTGAAGTGCTAGATTGTTATACGTCGCATTTAAGTCACATAAGTTGCCAAGGTTAAAAAATTTCGCACTAAATATATATATATATATTATATTTTTTTTATTTGTTTTTTTTAAAAATACATTGGAGTCGTCAAGTTATTCGGACTCTTCCAAATAAATCTCCTTCGCCGAGTCGATTTTTTGATCACGGCCTAAGACGAATGAATGTAACCTTCCTGTATAATAGATAAATGCTTTTATAATATACAATCCTTTTAAAAAATGTCCCACTTTGTATTTTACCTCTATGTCTCCTTTTTATTATTATTATTTTTTTATTTTTAAGAATTAAAACATCCCCAGTTCAGAACTATTAGTTCTGGATTGCTCGATGTATAGCTTTTTTTTAAAATAATCAAACCTGTCCATAAACTGTGTTTTTTGTCAGCAATCGAACCATCCGGATCGCTTTGATTTATTACCATGAGCATCTCGAAATTAATAGGTTTGGATTAGATATGATCATAAAATGTCGCTAGTAGAATTTTTGTAGAGCAAGCTTTCTATGTTTTTCCTACAACATAAAACTTATATACTTCTCCTTATCCAACCCTCCATTTTGAATGGAAGGCTAATATTGGCCCAATCATAATATCATGTTTTTAAATTATTTTATTTTTAATTTTTTTTCTATAACCTATTTTAACACCAAAATTTGGACGCCCTATCCTCTATTAAATTGCACTAGCAAAAAATAAAAGTAAAAAATTTTCAATAACATAAAATGATCAAAATACCTTCAAAAGTTTTAAAAGGTATTTTGGTCATTATATTTTATCGAAAAAATATTTTTAATATTTTTTATAGGTATGCCCAATGAAAATATGGTACGTACGAAATTTCATATTCATACAATTTGTATAAAAAAAACTAAAAATAAAATACTTTTAGATGTTGGATTTAAGATCAAACGCTGAGTGCCTCTTTTGATCAAAATTGGAAGGCTGGATGGTAGGGAGGCATATATCTTCTATGCTGTAGGGGAAGTATAGAAACCTCTCCCAATTTTTTAATATCACAAGAACTAAATAACATCAGCGTAAATTTCTCATATTATTACTATTATTATTATTATTTGGGTGCATTTGATACATTTGAGAGAGAGGGAGATTGCTCTAAGTTATTATTGAAATGTTTTAATTGCAGGGAAGAGTTCAAGAAGTTGGTTGATGGCAAGAGTTGGATTGAGATTGATAGAGAAGGGTTTCAGAAGTGGAAAAATATGCCAAAAGAGGTTGGGAATCGAACACAGCCCACTTAAATTGAAAAAAATTCATATTTATTCTCAAGTGAAATAATTACATTGAATATTAATCTGTCCTTGTGCTAAAAAAATAAAGAAAAATTTATATTAAGTTGCAACCTAATGTTGTAATAATAACTTGTTTTAATTTATACTGTTCATTTTATTGAGACGTAAGACATTATCTTAAAGGACGTGCTGTGTCAAATCTATACTGTTCAAATGAACAATATAGAACATCGTGATTTTATATATATAAATAAAGTTGCAACACCTTATAAAAACCACACGCAGTAAAGATTCATTCGTTTTACTTTACAGATTTGTTTGCCATTTTCTTATGTTTGATTTTGAATTTATATTTTTCTAGGAAAGAAAACCTTACGAGGACCGCGCAAAGGAGCTAAATTCTGACTATGAGGCTTTGATTAATAGAATTGAGGAATCATGGATGGTAAATCGTTTGTAAATAAAGTAGCCCCATATGGTTATTCTTGTCATATGAATTGCACTTTAGAGATAGAGAGATAGAGAGAGAGAGAGAGAGGGATTTGATCGTTGGTGTTTGTTTTTTCAGGAGGATGATGAAGCGGATTCAGCTGAGGTTGGGAAGATTGACATGGTGGTCACACTCTCTCTCTCTCTTCTTGCTTTACTCTCTCTCTCTCTCTCTCTACTAATGTGTATTGGTTCAAGAATTTGCAGGAAGCAGAGGCCCAACTTCAGTGGAGGAGATGGGAGGACTCCGAGAGTTCCTATTCTGATTACTCCTGATCTCGATCTCTCTCTCTCTCTCTCTCTCTATTTTGTCCTATTTCTCTCTCTAAACATGGAGATTCTCTCTCCTAACTTTTTGGCCCCCTCCTTCATCTCTCTCTCTCTCTCTCCTAAGGCAAGTCTTTTGGGCATTTGGCTATGTAAATTTGTACGGTAAATTATTCATAGATCAAAACCAACCAACATTTGTGTTATGGTTGGATTTCACGTTTTTGGGTTATTTCTCGAAAAAATTACATCCGTCTAAATTTATGGAAAAATTATAAAGGGTTAAATTTATCCCAAATTTACAACATTGGATTAGTGTTTTTAATTTATTTATTACAAAGAGTTACCTTTTTGTGTATTTCCAATTTTGCATATGATTTGAGGGTGTGTGATGGGTTTTTGGTGTGTTGGGTCCACCAACCCATGTGCCAAACCATTAGGGTACACCGCTCAGTCCATGATGCTCAATGTGTGAGAATATACCGTGGAATAAGAATAAGAATTTCAAATTTATATAAATGGGTTGCCACCCGGCTTGGCCTAGTTAGCCCAGTCCTGATTCTCCTAAACACCCTGGCCCAAGGGGTGGGTCGGATTGGGTATGAGCTAGGCCCTCCTTTTGACCTCGTCTGGGCTTGTGTTCGTCGTATAGGAAATAGAGCCAGACCTAGCCCGACCCAGCCCTATGAGATAGACGTTAACCCTCAAGATTAGTTGCTCCTGCGGGAGCCAAATGTGCATTTACTCCCTCGCTAGTGATTCGTGAAGTGCTTCCTTTAAAATAAGGGAGTTGTCCACACATGGTTTGTGTTTTGGGGCAGTGGAAGAGGCAAAACCAAAAGGAACATGAAATGGGACATTATGTTATTGCATTCAAAACAATGTTAATCGTTGTTTAAAACTAATGTATGCAAGACGTATTTTATTCTTGTGAATGAGATATTTATCAAGATTTTCAAAAGATTGGGCCTTGAAATGGATAAAAACATTTGAAACTTGTAATATTGGCCATCGCATTTTTTTTTAGCAAGGCAGGAAATTCATAGAAAAATCTTGGCTGTCGTCCTCAACCAAACCTTTCACTCAAAACATTACTTCACACTTATTTGTCATCCACATGAACCTTTTTGAGTGGAGAATAAAATTGTTATTATGCGTTACTTTGCCATTCTCAATCTTTGACTGAAGTTGGGAGTTTCCTTTTTTTTAAAAGTTTATTATAAAGCAGCAATTATTCAAGTCGATGTAAGATTGTAATAATTTATGCTATCCATAAGGTTGCAACCTTAAACAAATCCAATTAAGGTGCACCTTTAATCTTATCATAGATATAATTTTGATATAAAATCTTTTTAGGATTCTTTGAGAATTTATTTTCATTTCCAATTATAAAATTTTAAGTTCTAAAAATTGTTCAAATCAAGTAGACCTAGAAACACATGAAAATCTTAAAAATGGACTGTTGTGTTTTAAGATACACCATTTCGCATACCCTAAATCAATTTTTTTTTTCATATTCATATATTTGAATATCGAGATACTTATTTAGAAAGTTTTGTAACATCCAAACAACTTTTTATGATGTATTTTTGAGGTGAACCTTTACTTATAACAAACTTTTTCTTTTAGATTTTGACATTGTTTTAAAATATATATCGAATTTTGGCACTTTCTTAAAAAAACATGTCAAATCATGTAAAATTGCCTATATTGTGTGAATGGAGACTATCCAAAATTTGGCTTTTCAGATTTAAGTTATAGAAACTCAAAATCGATTTTTATCCTTTTTGAAAGAAGTAATCGAGCTATTATTCCAATTATTTAGACTTAAATTCCTCTTTAAGTAGGTGTTTTTATTTTGCCCAAGGAGCAAATGTGCACCATGATGTGGGAGGAGTATGCAGATAAAATAGTGGACTTTTTTTGAAGGGGGAAAATATCATCACAATTTTTAAAAATACCCAAATTATCCTTGCCCAGTGTTTGGAATGAGAGGCATTTAAGTAATTTGACCCACGAAGCCTCAAATGAATGACAAAAATTCTTTACTGTTAAAAATTGTTCAGTATTAGTAATATGGAACAATTAAAAGTATATGTTGTTACAATACCCTTAATATTTGGTATTGTTAAGGAATGCATTTATTATTTGTAATATACAAATTATTAGGGATATTTTTATCATTTAATTGAGATATCTTAGTGGTTAGATTACAAAAATACCCTTGACTATCCTACGGTCAAAATACTAAACAAGAGCAATAAATAAATAAATAAATATATATATGTATATATAATTTTTTTTTTTCATTACAATCAAGTGTCGTTTTTTTCTTATATATATATATATATATATATATAAAGCGATACCTTATTGAAATGAAAAAAATAAAAAATCCCTTGAGAGGAAATTTGGCCCTTTTAATAATTTTGCATGGTTTCATCCCCTTGAGAGGAAATATGGCTCTTTTAAGCCTTTGTCAGTAATCAGTCAAACATTGCCTCAGTCATTGGAAGTAAAAATGGGGGTATTTTCGGTACCTTGCTTAATTCAAAGGGTATATTTTTACTCTCCCTTCTGGTTCACAAGAGATCTCGATTGTTCTTGCCATGGATTTCTACAATTTCAGCTGCCCCTCCTCCTCTTTCGTGCCCACGCAAACCACGTTTCGGTTTCGGATTTCGTCCTCTCCACTCCAACTCAGATTTCCAGTATGATTCATACTTTCTCTCTCTTTCTTGCATTCGTTCTTTTTTTTTTTCTTTCTTTTTTCCTTTTTTTTTTATCTATTTTGTTTTGATGTTTTGATCACTGTGTGCTGAGTCTCATAGAATTTGAAAATCATGGGTCATTCTTTATTTTGGGGTTTGTTTGATGTAGGGGCTGTTTGGGTGTAAGCCTTTTGGCTGTGCTCTTTCTCTCTCTGAGGTCTTATAAGTTACATTTTTTTGGTGTTCTGCTGCTGTTCTTAAGACTCTTTTTGTTTCTCTCTCATTTTTGATGATTTTTGGCAGAAATTGAAGGAATATGGCTTAAGAAAGTTTTCAGTGACGGCAAAGGCTTCTGGACCTGAGGAACATGATTCTCAAAATGGGTTTTCAATGAAACCGAAAAAACTATTCATGGAGGAGGTAAGATATTTACTTATTTTTTACTCTATTTTTCTTTTCGTTTGGCTTATTCTGCGTTCTTTGTTGTGTTCCTGGATTCTTTTTCCTTTTCCTTTCCTGTCATTTTTGATTCCTTGAATTTATGGTGAATGTAGCCAAGAATAGTTTATTGGAGTAATTATCTATTTCTCGTAATAGAGCTTGAATTCAGTATTTTTTACTATTTTATTGTTAATGTTTCAATTTACTGCAACAAATGATCTTACAGGAAAGAAACCAGTTGTGTGACATTCGTTTCATGTCTTAAATGTGGGTATTAATGAAGTTACTCGTGGTTTTCAATTTGTGTTTTTGGATTGCTTATGTTCGAAACTTTCTGTAAGAAATGATAATACAGGAAGAAATCATTTTTATGACATTCATATTTATTTCTTAAATGTGGATTCTAGTGAAATAATGGTTTTCTGCCTTATAGACACAGTCACGGTGGATATTGTTTGAATTTATTTACCATGGAAGGTTTCTTCAACATCATCATTCTTGCTTAGAGTTCACCAAAATGAGAAAGTTCCACGACATTTATTTCATTACAAATCTATTGTACAAGTTGCCACAATATGTATTGGTGCATAGCCTGTATAAGGTTAAAGAACATGAAAAGATGAAGACTGGTTTTTTCTGACCTAGTTTTTATATACTTTTTTGCTTGGTGTTGTGAAATTGGTATCCATGGAATTGTTTTCAAGCGCCCTCTTTCCAATTGGGGTTCACTAGTGAGGGAGCTTGTGGAGGTGTACCATGGGCTCCACTCTCATAATGGGATAGTGCTTGGACTCAGTGCCAACTTTATACGTTTAACAGTGAACAAGGTAGGATCATGGAGATCACAGATCGATTAATTTTGGTATCTATTAAATTTGTGCTAAGGTTCTCTTTCTCAAAATTAAGTGCGTATCAGTTTTATCTTTATCCTCTACTTAGCTAGTTATTGACCACAGTGGAACTTAGTGTTTTTGGTTTGTTCGTATTCCAATATAACTCTAAGAAAGGTTTGCATCGGAGATTATTCTGAACCTAGAAGTTCTAACATGTTGATTGTATTGTAAGTCAATTGTATAGCTTGGAGTACATTACATAATGAATCCCAATTATATAAGCTTAAAGAGCATAAAAGATGAATCCAGATGTTTATGTAGCTTTCTTGGGACAACTGTTCCTGTAATTACTTGACGGGTGATGTGAATTAGTAACCGTGAGATTGGCTTCTGGATCCCTTTGATCAAATTAGGTAGTCTAGAACATTTGTGCAAAGTTTCCTTTCATCAAGATATAAGTTTAAACTAATTTATCATGGTTTTGTAACTTATATAAGTTTAAACTAATTTATCATGGTTTTGTAACTTACTGATAAATCCTAGGAGATGCTCATGGGTGAGGGATTTGCATTATCATTAGGAACGTGGGGGAGTGTGTGTTTGTTTTGCAGTTTTTTTCTCATGGAGAGAGTAGAGAGGATTGTTAATCACATTTTGTGGATGTCTCCTTCATTTTTGGTTGGGGGTTTTAGTGGATTAGGCCCTAGCCATCAAAGTCATAGTTCAATGTTCTATGAAGGTTTTCACTTTCGGTATAATGGTCCACCTGAGCAAGAAAAAGGTGATGAGTCTTATATTGGAGAACCCAGGGAACCTCTCTGGTAGTACCAACTTGATGTTGTTGGGATGTTTTCTCTTGATTTATGATATTATTTCTTTTGTTATCAATAACTCAACTTTGGAGATTTGAGGTGGTAAGGATGTTATTTCAGATGTTAGGGCCTTGAGCCCCTCTATATAGGTTTATTAAAACCCTATTTTGTTGAAGGGACAGAAGGCAATCCTATCCTGGTAAAGTTTTGATGAGGTTATCCTTGACAGTAAAGTTGAGCTTATCAAATATTATGTCAATTTTCTTGGCTCTTTCAACTTGACCTGGGTGGACTTGTATGCATTTTTTGGTGGGTTGTGGTGTTTACAAAGGTGAGTTCTCAAAGCAAGTGGTGGTTGTGCAGCTCCCTCATTGTTCACTTATACTGCAAAACTCTATAGTTCTGTACAAGATTTTACTCGAGAGACTGTATTTAACTGTTAGTTTTTGTGGATTTAATTATTCCCTCTCTCCAAAAAGGGAAAAAAAAGCCGCCAACTCCTTTGAGACAATAAGTTTGGTCAACCCAGTGGCCTAGTTATTTCATAGTGGCATTTTTATACTAGAGGTCTACATACGTGGATTTTTTAGGGAAATTATAGTTCACTAGGATGTCATAAATAAACTCATGAAGCATGTTGGCATTCTTCCTTTCATATAATAGGTATTGTTTCAAGTTCCAGATGTTAACCTCAACTTCAGTTTTTTTATTTTTAAAGCACATATATACTAACAACCTGAATACTTTGTCAGAATACACACATACATACACATACACACTTACACACAAACACATATAGGGGTGGCAATCGTGGGTGAACTTGAACTGACCCGTGGGGTCGGGTTTGGGTCCAAGTGACTTCGACTTGACCCAGGTTGGGTCCGGGTCCGGGATGGTATGGACCCTATCCCAGCCCGCCCCGGCGTAATATATAAACACATATGATAATATATATAAAGCGAAAAGTTTATATAAGGTTGCAACCTTAAAAATAAAATGTAGAACTATGGATGCCCCTCAAAAATCCATCGGTGAAGGTTGTTTGAATGTTGAAAAACCCTCTAATTGATCATCTCGACATCGAGATGTATGACTATGAAAAAAAAAGATTTTGAGTCCCAGAAATGGTGCATCTCATAACACATTATCTAGACCGTCCATTTTCAAGATTTTTATATGTTTATAGATCTACTTGATTTTAATATTTTTGGAGTTTAAAATTTATAATTAGATTTGAAAATAGATTTTGAGATAATCTTAATAATATTCTACATCAAAATGATATGTTGTGATAAAATTTGAAGGTGCGCCTTAAATGGATTGTTTAAGGTTGCAACCTTATGGAAACCACACCCATATATAAAATGGCATTTATATTTTTAATTTCTAGGCCCATGTCCCAGTTGGGTCTGGGTGAAACCCAGTCGGTTTAGGTCCGGGTCCAGGTTGGGGTCGAGCCGGACTCGACCCGACCTGTTACCACCCCTACACACAGATGCCCCCAGGCCAGGGCCCACTTCCTTTTTTTCAGAATATATTAATCATCTATAAAATGTATGACTTTTATTGTCATATTATAAGGACTTAGCATAGTCTAATAGTAAATGATGTAGTCCTATGCTTAGACAGAGTTCCAAGTATCTTGATGTTATTTATGTTTTATCATTGTCCCTTGTAGTAGTGTCATAATTTCATGTTTGGGGGAAGAATGTTCTTTAGTGCTTGTATCTCCTGTCCATGTTTCAGATTGTACTTTCAAGGTAAATTAGTGGTAGGTTATATGTGCTTACCGTTGAGAATCTCCTATATTTATCTAGATTTCTGGCAAAGACCTTATTTGTATTGGTTTCCAGGCAATTGGAGCTGAATATGGGGAAGGTTTTGAGACATTTAGACCCAATGGACCTCTGAAGGTCGATGTGGTAATGGGGTTCACTTTTTTGTTCATGTTAAACATTGTTCATGATCATTTCCTTTTTTATTTTTCTTTCTTCTGTAGGCTTCTCTAACCGCTCATGTTATGTTTGTATTAGGATTTTTTAAATGATAGAATGCAAGAAAGTGGTCTTCAAAGGATAAGATATGCTATGAAGCCTGATGAAGCTTTTGGTCTTATTTTCTCTTGGGATAATGTTGTGGTATGTTTGGCACTCTACTTATTTTTGTCTAAGATATGCTTTGAAACTTGGACAACTTTAATGAAGTTTTTTGCTATGTTCTGATTGACTTGATTGGATCATTATTGAGTTTCTAGTCTTTTGGGAATGAAAAGAACTTTGGGTGAGTGGAGTTAAAAGAGAAAAAACAGAAGTGTTTATTTACTTGGTGTATTTTGTGATCATAAATTTGGATCACAATCTTGTGATTTGACTTGATTATCCTTGGTGAAACTATAAGTGGAAAAGGACTTGAAACATGCATGTTTCAATTGTTAGGCCAGTTGGAATTTGGTGGGCTCCAATTACATGCTTATCTAGAAATCAAGCTTTGTAATACTTTGAGTTGGGGATGTGTCTTTTCTCCTCAGGGTGGGGGCTTTGGGTATTCCTTTGGTAGATGATGAGAAGACCAAAGGAACAACATGTTAGTCATAGTCAGTATATTCCTTCTGTTGTAGATTCCCTTGAAAGCCCTAGTAAAGGTGACTGATGTTTGGGGTTTGATACCAATGATGTGCTTTGATACTGAGTGATGAAAAATTACATCTGCATATTCCATATTGATTGGAAAATTTATCCCTTCTACTTACTTGAATAGCCACACTGTTTCTTTTCTTCCTTCTTCTATATCGAGTTCAAGTGAAGAAGATGATGAGCTCGTTATGATGTATTGTTGACATAGTGGGTGGTACTCTATCTTCAGGTTGATACTCGGGCTTTGAAATTGGATGCTTGGAACCAACTTGCCTCTGAAGAAGGTAATTCGACAACAGTTTTTGCTTTGTCTGAGGTACATCTTGGAGTTAGTTTATCATATTATGCTCTGGAATTCTACAAATTAAACATTTATTGATAAATCCGCATAAACATTGTCCTATGGTTTCTCTTTACAACCAGTGCCTTTTGGGTTACAGTAGTTTTCTATTATATGTTTTGGGTTTCTTTTATTGTAGTTAATGTGTTCTTTCCTGGAATGTCCCGTCAGCAATATCATTTTGGTCAATTTGAACCTTAATGTTATGTTGGCTGTTATATCATTGGATGTTTACATGCAATAATCTGATGAAATTTATATTCATTTGAGATGCCTAGTTTGGTGATTTGTTATGTTGGAGTTTTTAAATTTGTTCTCAAATGTAGGAAAAAATCAGATTGGAGTCTTCCAATGCTTATTTGGACAATTCTGCTATATAGTTGCTGATTTTTTTTTTTAATGATTTTGTGCTGAAATATCTCAAAGGAGAAAATTGGTGTCGATTGGGGGTCAATTGGTTGATGTCAAAAAAGTTAGACATTAAACTCCATGTAGCAAACTTTTTCATGGTTTTTTCCTTAAGGCAAACTTTTTCATGGGTTTTCAAAATCTATGCTTGCCAGCATGTGTGTTTCTGCAACTCATTAAATCTGAAATATTGGACTAGTAAGCATATTTATGAAGTTTTGGAATGAAGAACAGCAACTATATTAGTTTTTATTGTAGATATATTATTTCTTGTCTACTAAGAATATCTGTATTAATATCCATCTGTGCATTTGCAAGCTACTTAGTGAAAGACTTAGGTGCAATGGCTGCTTGTTGGTATACTTGTTACCATACTGTCCTGACTTGTCTTTATTGGGTTTTAGCTTAATCAGTTAAATCAATAAATTAGGTTTTTGCAATTGTTTTTTGGGCAGGACAGGATGTCCCAAAAGATAGTGAGATACAGAGGTCCATGCTTTATGCAGGTGCCGATCATGTCCTCCGTAAGGTTTGCAAAGTTCATGTCATCTATTTTGGCTTAGTTCTGAAAAATGTGATCTTCTAGTGCTAAACTAATTTCTTTTAAACTTCTATGATTGCTTTCATATCTTTTATCAATTTTTTGAACATTTAAGAAAATTATTTAGTGGTATCCTGTGTTCTTCTTTGATTGTTTAATGTTTCTGAAGGTGGTACCCCCTTATGTTCAGGTTCTTTGTTGGGAGAAAGGCAAAGAGGAACTGGAACGACTAAAGCTACGGCTATCACAAATATACTATGAGAATCTTCTAAACGTGAGTCCCTGTGATTATTGATTGTTCTCGCAGGTTCTATATTATATGGATCCTTCATTCTTTTATTGTTAAACAGTTATTTGTAGCTCACTTGTCCTGAGATGTGATTTCTATAGGTAGAGGCACCCATAGAAGGATTGAAGGAATGGTTGGATGCTCTTTATACGGCTGGCATTCCTTGTGCTGTTGTATCTTGTCTGGATCGTCAAAATCTCCTTGGTTCGCTTCAGAGAATGGGACTGCGAAAGTATTTCCAGGTATAAAACCAAAGTTGGGTCTGTGTATGTGTTTCTTTTTCTTTTCCCCATTGGGGCTGTCTTATCTAATGAGCATTGGTGTATCTCCATGCTTCAGGCTGTTGTGACTGAGGAGGATGGGATGGAATCTTTAGCTCAAAGATTTCTTTCTGCAGCTGTCAAGGTTTGGAAACTTTGAGGCTATATACAATTTATTTGTTGTGGCCTATTTTTTACATTTGGGTCAACTGCTGTTGAAAATTTCTGTATCTATTTGTCAATCCATAAAAGGAGGACCTAAGTTGTGTGTGCGTGGTCCTGCACGAGTGTGCATTCTGATAAGATTGAACTGAAAGAAGACGTGAAGGTGTAACGGATGGTGTTTAAAAGATAATAAAACAAACAACTTAAGGAGAATATACAAGAAACTCCTAAATAGAAAGAAAGGAAGTGATAATGAATTAAGGGGATCAGAGTAGATGGAGGGGGGGGGTTGCGTTCAGAGAGTAAATCTAATAAAAAGTAAAATACCATTAATTGTCTCGGATTGGGTTAAATGAAAATTTTAACCTTTTGCATTTGAGAAGTTTGGGTATGAATGATTGGCTAATGTGTTTGTTGCAGTTGGATAGGAAACCATCCAAATGTGTCGTGTTTGAGGATGATCCAAGAGGAATTACTGCTGCTCACAATTGTACAATGATGGCCATTGCATTGATTGGTTCTCACCCTGCGTATGTATCATTCCTCTCCCTAATCTTCCTATCCTCTCTCCCTTTTTCTCTCTCTGAGAAGCACATGTTAGCCCACAATGCGCACACACTTAAAAAACATCTTATCATTCTCTCTCTCTGATAACCAGACATTCCCCACGAGATAAACGTATATTTGAGAGAGAAAGATTGGACATCATATTGAGTTTAATAGTTGGGTATAGGTATGAGTTGGACCAGGCGGATCTTGCTGTTGCAAGCTTCAGTGAGCTTTCGGTGATAAACCTTCGAAGATTATTTGCGCACAAAGGCTCTGCCTTCATGGATTTGCAGAAGCAGATAGAGAATAAGGCTCCCCCTAAGAGGAAGCTTTACATTGACACAATTTTCTAATGTCTCTCTACAATTCTTTCCTTCCTTTCTCCTCTTTTCCAAGTTCTTTGATGTATAGAAATGAGCTGCATAAAGGTGAGCTCTCTTTTTTGGCCTTGATAGTAGCATATATGTTGTGAATATCATTGTGAATATGGTCTCCATAATGGTGCTTCAATTCATCATGCTCTCTCCTCCATATATCTAGACTTCATCATGCCCTCTCTCATGAATCGAGACTTCTTTTTAGTTTCTGTGATTCCTGTAATAAGTGGTGATTAATGCCTCTTATCATTCTGCAAAAAATTAAAATATCAATGTGTTTAATTATATTTAAATGTATTTCATATATTGGGCCCCTTGGGTCCCTGGTTGGGTCCGGGTCCATTGCCAGCCCAACTTTTGCAAGGAAATTAGCAAAAATGTCAAGAGATGTTCATGTTTAACTTGGTTTTCAAAGATGTCCAAGTTGCATTATTCCCGAAGTTCTCAATTATTTAGTGATAAACATTACACGTGCTTAGAAATGAAAACTCGGTAATTAAACTACTGAAAATTCAAAATTTCAGCAATCTTGTGTACAGTGTGTTACACTCATTTGATACTCTTAGGTCATCTTTGTCAAATGAACAAATAATGCTACATCAGTAAATGCCTTTTTGGTAATTTTAAATTCACTTAAAAAACAATTACCCCAACCACGCCTCCAATCTGTCTCTCAGTTCTGGTGAACTTCAACTGAGAATTAAAAGGGATTGCATTTAAGTTCGATACTGTGAAAAATGTGAAATTAAAGCCGGATCATTGAAGGTCTAAAAATTTGAAAATCTTAGTGAAAATCAAGCCTCGAAACCTAGTAAATGCAGGGAATATTTTTGTCATTTTAAATGACATTATGAAATCCAACTCTTTCTATTTCGTTGGCAGAAAAATGAATACAAATATATAGTTATTTATTTATTTATTGGTGCGAATAAGGGCCGTGTAGTAGGACCTACCAAATTCCTTCCCATAGCCACAGGTGCTTCCACGTCCGATTCCCAATCTGAATTTATGGATTTTTTCCCATAGCATTTGCTTGCACGTCCGATTTCCAATCTGAATTTATGGATTTTGAGATGGGATCTCATACCATTTATCTTTGTTATAAAAGGGTCAAAATTACTCATAATCTTAGATGTGGTTTGGGTATGTCATAAAGTTCGAGAAAATTGTTTTGAGTCTAAATCAATGCAACACTTACAACTAGATTTGATGGACAAGAGTGAATGTAATTTCATTGTATTTTTATACTTTTTTTTAAATACTAAATTTTATTATAGGGTGTAATTTTTACAATGCCCAAACTCTAAACAATCAAAGTAAAACGTACCTTCAAATAATGTCAAAATATGTTGTATTAGTACCAAAATTCTTATTGATGGCTTAGAAATTCATTTTCATCTTTAATTATAAAATTTTAATATTAAAAAATATTATAGATCAAGTAGATCTATGGACATTTAAAATATTTGAAAATTGATGGTCTAGATAATGCATTATAAAATGACTATTTCAAAGTATTAAGTTCATTTTTGTTTTTTTGGTCAATGTACCTCAAGGTCGAGATGATCGGATATAAAAATTATTTATCATCAAACAACTTTTTAAAGTTCGCCTTATTTTTCATTGTTACATACCTTAACCTTATATAAACTTTCTTCTTCATATATTTTGTCAAAAAGTAAGGCCACCTTAACCTTATATAAACTTCTTCTTCATATATTTTGTCAAAAAGTAAGGCCAAAAGTTGACCTAAATATATATTCTGAATAAAGTAAAATAAATGGGAAGTGTTAAAGATCCTGAACAGCAATAAAGAACTTGTGGTGAGCTATAGAGCAGTGTTGTTTTGACTTCTCTGTTCCAGAAACTTCACCGAAATTTACGAAATATTGGAGGAAACAAAGAAATTCACGAAATTTTGGGCTGAGAATGCGAACCTCAGGAAAGATTTCACTGCTCAATGTCCCGTTCCGGGATAATTCCCCTGATCACTGTTCCGTTCCGTTTCCCAAATGTGAATGCATTCTAGAGAGAGAAAGAGAGGGAGGAGAGAGAGAGGATAAGATCCTCAATCCATTTTCCTCTTGCTATCCTTGTTTCCTCAAATTCCAAATCTGTCTCTCTCTCTCTCTCTCTCTCTTCTTTGGACCTAGAGACCAGTGTGGGTCTGGCCTCTTTCTCTGCTTTGCACTCAGAAACCAAAGTGGGTTTTGTTTCTGGTTTGAATCCATTGAATCTTCAGAGGGAAAACTGTAAGTGTGTGAAAGGAGATGGCTTGTATTGGTGGCCCCTGTTCATTCTCCTCTTACAAGACCTTCCCCAGAAAACCCACCCTTCTTCACACTAGATTCAAGCTCAGAATAAGCTGTACAGTAGCAGGTAATTTTCCCTTATTTTCCCTTTTATTTATTTCTTCCTTTTTTCTGTAAATTACTGCTTTACAGTCGATAATTCTTTATCGATTACTGTGGGATTATATAGATGTATGGATTTTTCTGAAGCATTTCCTGGAAATATTCTTAGTTTGAAATTTGGGTTTCTTTAGAAATTTCTTGATTGAATGTTTTAGACTTTATACATGGTTTTTATTGAGACTGAGAAGGTAATTGGGACTGAAAATTCGAAGCAATCAGTGGAGATGCTGCGGAAATTAGGCGCTTGTATGTGAGTCTTTACTTTTTTATTTTTTTGCATGTTGGAAGGTTATTACTGGAAGCGATTCCGTTTGAAAACTTTAGTTATTTATGTGGTTTTAATGGTTATTTCTGCTAAACTGAAGAAAACTTTGAAATTTAAGTTTCTATCCTGCACCTTCGACCTTCTGGCCTGCATTTTTTGGCTTTTAATTTATCTAGCCAAGAGAAAAATTGGGTTAATGTGGATATGCGTGTGAATATGACAATGTGATACTGAAATCAATTTGTGGGTGTTTGTATTATTGAGGTTTTCCATTTTGTGTTTCCTTAATTCCCTGTAAATGAAAAGTCTATAGTGTTTATTGGGTCTCTTTGCTGGTAGGGAGAAAGTTTTCCTTATGGTCCAGGACATGGAAGCTATCGGTAAGGGTGATCTACATTTTTAGAGAGAGATTAGGTATGGGACACAGTTTCAATGATTCATACATAGATATGAGTCCCCTCTTCATGATCCATGTTTCAGACGGATTTTGGACCTAATTTTCTAACTATATATAATCTCTAACATGGAGATTGTGAAATTGTAAAAATAAATAAATTTTAAAAACTATAAATGATAATTTTTTGAAAGAAATTTTTAACCATTGATTTTTCCCTTTACAATTCCATAGCCATCTTTAAAATGGATGTGTGATGACTTGGGGGATGCAATTGTAGTTATGCGTCCCCCGACGAATAAGTCACTTTCCCTTAGGTATGAAGTGGGACTGGTTCTTATTTTATTTTACTTTATTTGATTTAAAAATCATCTTTGTTATGTGTGAAAGAGTGGGGTTTTACTCAGGGGTAAGGTATATACCATACACCAGTAGTGTATATGGCACATGAGGACATCCATGGATCTTTCTTGATGACTGATGGAGATTCCCTGTTGTTCCCATTTATGCCCATTCACTTGGTTCTGGTCGATCACTACTATCCATCTTTAAAAATGAATGGTAGTGTTCAAGGTTCTTGTGGCTTTACTGTAAAACATATACTCCTGGTTGATCGTCTTTCCATTAGTGTGGATATAAATACTTGGCTTATGAATTATTTTGATAAGATATGGAGATTGCTGTGGTGTTCAAGGTTCAGATTATATTTGATTGAGGATGAAGCTTAGAAATTGATTTCTTTTTTGGTTCTATTAGAGAAACTTACATTTCATTGAAGTGGTAGTTGACAATTTACCTTGGGATTTTTGAATTGTTTTGAAGTATATTGGGTATTTTTTTTTTAAATTTTGAATATGGGTTAGATTGTTGTGGCATTCAATGTGCAGACAAGATTTGATAGAGGAAAACGTTAATAGTTGCCTTCTTTACTGGTTACATTAAAGAGAAGTGTCATGATTAAATATCCTCAAAGTGGTACTTGACGAGTCTACCTCAGGGTTCTTGTGGCACGTTTTCTAGTAGATTCTTTTACAAAGATCTCATGGTGAGAGCAGGGTGTATGTCACCGTTAGGCTAGTTTATCAATTCCCTTCTCGACCACAAAGTACTCTTTCATTTACCAAAAGCTTGTCTGAAAATCAGAATCCTGTGTCCTCTCATAATGAATTGAATATCTGTACCATTCTCAATTCAGCAAATGATGGGTAACTCAGAAAATATGATTTTTTCTTTACTGGTGAATGGAATTTTTTCATCTGAAGAGGTATGGATGTCTTAGGCTATCTTCTTGATTTCGGTGACTTGTTCATTTTGAAACTGATTTGCTTTGTCCTTCCCAACAGAAGAGAGAAGACATTTTGGTCGTTTAAGCTCCACTCGTTTCTAATATAGCAATATTGGTTTTGTGCATATTTGCACGTCTGTACTTTTTTGCATTCATCCATGCCTCGGAAGCCCATGTTTGTCTGTATGTATGTGTATGCATTGGCATACATATGCAGGTATATATGATTTTCATGCATGTGAATGCATGGCGGACCCCAATTAGTTGGGAAAAGATGATGCATGTGAATGCATTTTTTTACTTGTGCATGTAGTTATGTGGTGGAATTTATTTTCTAATCCTTTCAATGCCTCATTTTTCAGAGTCTTTTGTGGATACAAAGTTGACCTGTGTAGATGAACCCATCCTTCTCCGTGCTGTAAGGGGAGATAAAGTTGAAAGGCCCCCAGTGTGGCTAATGAGGCAAGCAGGGAGGTACATGAAGGCAGGTTCGAATGCTATAATTAGACTAAATTACTTATACACTTTCTCTATTAATCTCATATAGTAGTTTTTAAAGGCAAAATTGATACCAATTTAATGACTTCGAATAATTACCTTGATTGTGCTTGTGCAAACTACTATCTCTGCCCTCTACTTTTTCTGTTTTCCAAGATCAAATTGTTTTCTGCTTGTGATTAACTGTGATTACTTATAACTGCATATTTATGGAAATTGTAGAAGGGGGACGAGTCTACAACTATTTTATGTCATTATTTTGTGAGATGTACAGGGTTTGTGGCTTACCCGTTGCCCAAACATAAAAATTAAGAAACTAAAATTAGGGCAAATCACCTTAGAATCCAAGAATTCAGTAAGTTAATATTTTATTCTGTATTACGGGAAATTGGTGATATTGAGTCAGTTTTGTAGGATTGTGCAAAAATGAGTTTATGTGAAGCTTTTTTAATGAATGGGGACCATTGTGGTTTCCTTAATTTTTACTTCACACACATCCATATTTTAGTGTTTTTCAGTCTCACTAGCTAATGATAAATGACTGAAACTGGTCAATCTCTAGTAATTTGGTGAATGATTTTGTGTTTCTTGATTGGTATGATTCAGTAAACATTGTTGTTTAAGATATATATTTTGTTTTATTTGGAAATAATATCGTTGCAAGTAGTCATATACTCTATGTAATACCTTTCTCATAATCCTTCTCTCTTTTGTTTTGATGGTGACTTGTTTTTTCAAATGTCTGGTTTAATTGTTTGCCTTGGTGAGCTGCCTTATTGTCTAGAAACTTTGGAAATTTTTACAATATAACTGTCTAAGTATTTATGCTTTTATTTCTACCATCAAAGCTTAAGCGTAAAGTTTGACTTATCAATTCTCTTTAAGATTTAGCATGTGCATGATGCCATCATTTCTTTTTTGGCAGAGTTATCAATTGATATGTGAAAAGTACCCTTCATTCCGAGAAAGATCAGAAAATGTCGATCTTGTTGTTGAGATATCTCTGCAGCCATGGAAAGTTTTTCAGCCAGATGGGGTGAGAAATATTTTCACTCTTGGGGCTATTAGCTTGTTGTTGCTATCTATACAAAACTATCTAAAAGATAGGCTCTCTATATAAATTTGGTCTTGCTTTCTAGATGGACTGTTTACTTGTTCAAACCTATGCATGCTAACATTATTCAAAGAAAAAAGAGTTCTGTTTATTCAAATATGCATTCCCTCCATCAAACCCACCAGGTATTGTACCATGAAAATTGCTAACAAGAATTGGTTTTGACAATATGTTATTACAGGTTATTCTATTTTCAGATATTCTCACTCCGCTTCCCGGGATGAATATCCCTTTTGATATTGTAAAAGGAAAAGGCCCCGTCATTTATAATCCTATAAAGACCGGTGCAGATGTTGATCAAGTGAAAGAATTTGTTCCTGGAGAATATGTTCCTTATGTTGGGGAGGCTCTGACAATCCTGCGAAAAGAGGTGCGTTGGTTTTTTTTCTTTTCTTTTTGAAATTTAGCACTTCATGTACAATTATAGACTTCACAAATGCTGCCAATTATATCCTCTTAGTTTTTTATTAGTTTTTTATGTGTATCTTGGGAGTCATAATATAACGCTTTGGAAAACGACAACCGAATGACCCTTTTCTCATGTTGTTTAGATTCTCAATAATGTTTACTTTCTTCCTCTTGGCCCTACTCAAATAACAACTTCTTATAACTTCTATTGGCATAAAAATTATGATAAGATTTGATAATTGATCACTGACTTTTTGCTTTCTCTCGGACACAGGTTAAGAATGAAGCAGCAGTGTTGGGTTTTGTGGGAGCTCCATTCACACTTGCATCTTATGTGGTCGAAGGCGGTTCCTCGAAGAATTTTACAAAGATAAAGAGCTTAGCATTTTCTCAGCCAGAGGTACGCCTCTCTACCCGCTCTGTATCTTCTCAATGCAAATTGTTTGAGAGCATCTCATCCGCAATATGATCATAATGAGTTGGCAATTCTACATAGCCCAAAATGGTTCAGAGCATCTCATGCACAAGATGTTCGTAGTGAGTTGACAATTTTAACAAAACTATTTTTCTCAAATCTCATCTATGACTATTGTTCTCAAATCCTAAAGCTATTGTTGCATTCTCTCACAGATCCTCCACGCCTTGCTGCAAAAGTTTGCCGGTTCCATGGCCAAGTACATCCAATACCAAGCGGACCATGGTGCCCAAGCAGTCCAAATCTTTGACTCATGGGCCACTGAGCTCAGCCCAATAGACTTTGAAGAATTCAGCCTCCCTTACCTCAAACAAATAGTGAGCTCAGTTAAACTAACCCACCCTAACCTTCCTCTAATTCTCTATGCAAGTGGGTCAGGTGGGTTACTTGAAAGGCTCGCATTAACAGGTGTAGATGTTGTTAGCTTAGACTGGACTGTGGATATGGCTGAGGGCCGGAGTAGGCTGGGCCATGGAGTGGCAGTCCAAGGAAATGTGGATCCTGCAGCATTGTTTGGATCAAAGGATTTCATCACTAAACGTATTTATGATACGGTTAAGAAGGCTGGGGACAGTAAGCATGTGTTGAATCTTGGTCATGGGATCAAGGTTGGGACACCAGAGGAGAATGTAGCTCACTTTTTCGAGGTAGCAAAGGGAATAAGGTATTGAGATTGTAGTTTTTTGTAGAAGATTTTGTGTTTTTGATGAATCTATGGTGCTTTTTGAGCGAGGGAAGCACATTTATCGCTGATGCATTGTGTTTTGAGGTGGTGTTTTTAGTTACATTTTTTTAGAATTGGGCTTTGGGATTTTGTTATGTCAGATAAATGGGGGTTGTAAATTGAGAGAGAGAGAGAGAGAGAGAGAGAGAGAGAGAGAGTAGTTAGTAAACTAACTAATTATAATTGAGTTATAAATTTTTGTAAAATTTAAAGAAAAGTTTATATAAGGCTTCAACCTTATACTATAAAAGAAAGGATGAACCTTAAAACCTCATCAAAGAAAGTTATTCCCATGCTGAGAAGCTTTCAAATACATGAGAAAGAATTTACTTTTCTTTATTTGCATCTCTTTTCTATTATAGTCAATCCCATCTAGTCATATACATATATAGAATTTGAACCCGAATTCCCTTTCTGATTTATTATTTCTATCTTATTGGTCGTTATCTTTTATTTCAGCATATTGATTTTCGCTTACTTTTTTTTTATTTTCTATCTTTTCATGTATGGATTTTGTCTATTTCTACACATACGATTTACATATACAACGTATATCACTGTCAAGAGTTAATCATAAAACCCCACGAATGGATATATAAATTCTATGAAGTAAGTCAGTATTTATAGAAGGCATGGATAGGGTGGTCCGGCAAGATCATCATCTACGCATTTTCCAATTTCTCCCACCCATAATACAGTTAGGAGCAGGTTGTTAAAATTGTCTAACTTCAGCTGAAGAGATTGAAATCCTCGGTGCTCAACTCCAAACTGAAACAGAGCATAACTTATTTGATCTTCATGGGACTATCATACTGAGATATCATCTAAACTGCTAATTCTTTGAGAATATCATCCATATCAACTGTAAAAAATTCTTAGTACATCACCAAATTATATTTATATGTATTTAAAGTTTTATATTTATTCAAACTACTTAAAGTTTTTCTCTGGATTGGCAAGGCGCCGGAGCGCTTCACTTCGTCAACCAAAACAAACAGGTTTTCAAAATTAACTTAACAACATTAAGGGATTTATTTGATAAAAAAAGAGTGGAGAATCGATGATGCATAAAGAATTGAAATGCGTGGTGTATAAAAATAGTTTAAAATCAAACCATTTTTAAAGCTCGAAGCTGTTTTTTTTTCTAAATTCATGATCATAGAGTTGGAGAAGAGATATATCTTTAGAGTTTTTGCTGTGAGCACGTTGTATGAAACCAACTGGGTACCATGCCATACAAAATTAAAGTATGGCATGGTACCCAGTTGGATTGGGTACTCCTTCCAATGGATTGGGTAGTTATCTCTGTTGAAAAGAATTAAAAGGAAGCTTTGTTACAATGGATTGGGTAGTTTTCTCTGTTGAAAAGAATTAAAAGGAAGCTTTGTCACAAAAGGGTCGAGGTTTTCTACTTTTGAGAATTTACATCATTCAACATCCTCAAATTTGAGATCAATTGGTTAGGTCACCGGACCTTCAAATTTAGAACCCCACACTCACCTACCAAAAAGAAACTTTTGAGATGGCACGTTACGAACTTAATGTAATATAAAATAGATATAGTACATGGTATCTTAACCGTCCATTTTATAAACAAAGGGTTATAGATGATAAGTGATTCCTTGTTTAGGGTAAAACAACACGGGAAGTCAGTCCGCCACCTATTTTTATTAAGGAAAATTGCTTCAAGTCTTCATTATGCGGTCCCAGGGTATAAAACATCTATTTTAAAGATGGATGCAAATAGGTGGTCCATTTAAAAACAATTGAAAGTCACGGTCCAAATGTTTTTTTCATAAAATCATTATTTTTATTTCTTAAAATTTATTTATTTTTTTATATTCATGATTTTCATATTAGAGATTACATGTCCTTAAAAATTGGGTCTGAAAAGCCATCTCAAAAATAGACTTTTAAGAGTCACTCACTTCTACATGGAATCATAGAAACCGTGTCCTTTTATTAATACAAAAACTATAATACATTTAAGTATATAGGGATGTCCTTTGATGAGGAATATTTTCTGACTTTAGAAAGTCAATGGAAAGAGATTAAAGAGGCGGGTCTTGTTTGGTAAATTGTGGCAATTGAAACTATACCTTCAGTATTGCCGATAAATCCTCCACTTAATTAGTCTCACGAGAAATGTGTCTAAAGTTCCACCAGTAATTTCGAAACAATTGAATACAATTGTGAACTAAAGTAGGACATTTCCATGGAACTATCATAGAATTCTGGATCGAACACGCATCAATTTTGGAGTCGTCTCATTCTCAACATTCCTACAAGTTAATTTGTTGCACCAACTGCAATCCCCTCAGTAAAGCCCAAAATTTAGCTGCATTATTTTGTATTTCCTCGAAATGATATGAGAAGGCAATTATAAATGAGAGAGTCAAGATGTATGAGAGCAACACCTTTGCATTTATGTCAAATAGGGAAGAAAACACCAGTTCTAGGTTTAAGAAGGGTGATAACCTTAAATTTTCTCTAGATTGTATTAGGTAGGTTTAAGAAGGGTGATGACCTTAAATTTTCTTTGGATTGTATTAGGTAGGTTTAAGAAGGGTGATGACCTTAAATTTTCTCTAGATTGTATTAAGTAGGTTTAAGAAGGGTGATGACCTTAAATTTTCTCTTAGATTGTGTTAGGTAAAGGGCTGGATTGGGTTAAGCAGGCAATTAGCTTAAAATTCTATCAAAACTCATTAAGAGGGAAAAAAACATCCATTTGGATATGTGAAGTGTGAAGAGTCTCAGGTGTCTATGAAGAGACTTGGTGTCTATTAATCGATACAAATATACAAGCTTGTCTTTGTCTTATATAGACAATTACATATAACAATAATAGAAATAAATCACAGACATCTATATTACATTCAAATTTACCATAAATACAAAATATTATACCTACACTTCTCATATATACAATATACAACTTTCATAATAACCTGATATATAATATATACTTTCCTTTTGTATGAAGAATGTGATGGATTCACGTGCATGTACACTTTTAGCACATTTTCATTTGCATGGATGCGGGTTGAGTTCGTGGCTTGCAAATATTTTATTGCACAAGAACGAAGTTCGATTCGGAAATATTGGTTCCACAAAGGTGTTGCGAATAAATTTTTGGGCAAATAGGCGCCATGAATAATAGCAAGGTGCAAATAGTATTCTTTGGACTTTCGACCAGAGAAGATTGTTTAAGCATTGTTTGGATGTCGAGAAAATGCGAACAATAATGTTTGTCTGCAAAATGCACTCTGCAGTGACTTTATTAATAATAACAAAATAGTCCCTGTTTGGGCAAGCTTCCATATTTTGACCATAGCTTCTAAATTGGGCTTTATATTGAGACTAGATTTGGCTCGTTGGATAGTGCTTAGGGTTTCCACAAGACAGATTTGGTTTGAGGTTGAACAAATGCAAATTTCATATATATAAATGCTGTTAAATTTAGTGGTCCAGGCATAAAGCATACCAGTGTGTTGGTGAGCACATAGAAATTTCATATTTGATCAGGGAAAAAAATTAAATAAAATTAGTATTAAAAAGTAAATTGGATAAACATATAAAGACATAAGTTGCCACGAAAGTCTAACATTAATAGGCATCGAGGCGGATGACAAAAGTATATCAATGGTTCATTTATTTTTTGCTGATTATAAATTATAGGACTATTTCTATTTGGTAAAAGAATGTCACATTGTTTCAGTGTGAAATCCGGCAACTTGAGATATAACACAATATTAAAAAAAAATTATTGGGGCTTCGAACAGTAAAAAACAATGCCCACAGCAATCGAATGTTACATTTGATGGCTAAAAAAATGCAATGGCCATGTCTTATATTATAAAGTCTCCCTAGTCGCCAAGCACCAGATGTTATAAGTAGATTGATATGTCTCTCCTTCAATATGATGTTCCACCTCCTTTGCTGCCTAACCTCAAATTTGGACCAAATGTGCAGCATCCTAAATCAAAATCAAAAGGTCAAAAGTCACCCTCAGAGTTCAAGAAACTCTGAACCATTTGTGCTGCATCTAACATGGACCACTCAAATGCATATGGAGAGTGGATCCAAAAGCTGTTGCGGCAAGCAATGTTTCTAGTCTTTTTATGCACATTGCTTTCCAAAATCTTTTCAAAATTATAAGATTTTTCAATTGAAATAAGTGCACCCAAAGATATTTGAGGATTGAATAGTACCTCCACTTATCGCGGGCTTAATTTGACCGGCAATGGATAATAGCCCAAGTGTTGTAGATTGATATTGAGTGTCTGACCATTTCTTATGGAGTTAATGGCTGGGAAACAAGAAAGTCATCATCTAGAAAATCCAAACCGTCCAATCTCCAATGTTATTTAAAAAATATTGGTTCCAAACATTTGAGATAGAAAGGTAATTTATCCCTTGCATGTGTTTAAATTATTACTTTCACTTTTGGTACAAGGAGGTTATTCTGGATGATCAATTAAATTTGTATGTGTGTCATACTCTAGATTTTGATCTTTAGATAAATTTTTTAGATATTTTATCTAAAAATATTTAGATTTTTAGATTTTGTGACATACTCTAGATTTTGAATTTTATGACCTCACTGTATCAAAGGTATATGGTTTTATAATATTCAATCTTATAAATTTGGAGGCCTGGGAGTTATAATCTTCGTTTTGGTCATTTTTCCTTTGAGCGAGTATCGCGACAGTCTATAATATATGAAAGAAAGACCTATGTAATCTTTTGTCGGGAAAATACAATTTTTTTTAATAATAATCAAACCTTATAATTTTGGCAACAAGATCACTCACAGATGGTCTTATTACAAACAATAGAAATGCCAAAACAATAAATAACACATCAATAAAATAAATCTCAACTACTTGATGCCATTCATACAACCTAATACTATGCTTGAGAATATAAAATAAAAGAACAAACAATTAAAAGAAAAGATGTCGGAGATTACCTTAACCGAGTTTTTTATACTGCATACTGAGTCACTACATCCAATGGTGCGGGATCAGCGGTTTAGCTTCAATCTCGAACCGGGAAAGCTAATTTT